TGGTAATCCTCCTGTAAATACATTCTCATCCTGTAGAAAAATCTAATATTAACCAGAAGGTCTGGTGAATCCATGAACCCAGAAAAAGTGGAGTTAGTGTTACGATTCTTTTGTTATTGTTATTACATTTTAATTAATTTAAGATACATTATACACACACAAGGAAAAAGTACAAAGCATACAAAAAATGTTAACATGAAAAGTAGATCTTTCTTTCATCTCTTGTGCCTGTCCCAGAGCCAATGTTCTTTTGGAAGGTCTTAGAGACCACTGCCTCTGTATTAGCTTCTTGTTGCTGCTATAACAAATGATCACAAACTTAGTGACTTAACACACAAATTTATTATCTCATAGTTGTGAAGGGTAGAAGTTCTAAAATCAAGGTGTTGGTGGGGCTACATTCCTACTGGATTTATTAGGGGATAATTTGATTCTTTGCTTTTTCTAGCTTCTAGAGGCATTCCTTGGCTTGTGACCCCTTCCTTCATCTTCAAAGTCAGCAGCATAGCATCTTCAAATATCTCTCTCTGTGAACTCTTCTTCCTTTATCACACATCCTCTGATTTTAACCTTCTTGCTGCCTCCTCCTAAGGACCCTTGTAATTACATTAGGCCCATCAGATAACCCAGGATAATCTTCCCATCACAAGAGCCTTCACTTAATGACATTGCAAAATCTCTTTTGCCCTGTAAGAGAACATATTCACAGTTTCTGAATATGTTCATGGACATATTTGAGTATCATTATTCTGCTGACCAGTTTCCAAACAACATCAAGAGACAAATGACTTCTTCCTTTTCTCTAGACCAGAATAATAATGTGTTCTGATGAAAAATAATGTATTCTTGTTGTTAAGATGCTTATTTATGTTTGTTTGCCAATTTGTTCTGTACATTATGAAATGTATCCTTCTGGACAATGTTTAATAGATGAGGTATAAATAAACGTAAATAGAAGATGTCATTTTCCCCACAGCCAGTGGATTCCTTACTACACTCATGGTGGGTACCAAGCCCTCTTTAGAGACCACTGTCCTGGACCATCCTTTTTCTAGATTCACTGCCAATCGCTGTCCTGAACATTCCTTTCTTCTGTCAGTAGGACATGCTATTTATAGGGTACAAGGCACTTGAGCTCCAGTATAATGAGGTTGTTAAGAGCATAGCTATTTATGTCAGTCAGACAGGTTCAAATCCCAGCTCCACCACTACCACCTGTTCAACCTCCATCACGTTGCTCAACCCCATAGGCCTCAGGTTTTTCACTGGTAATATGCATAATGTCTACCTCATAGGGTTGCTTGTGAGGATTAAATGTTCAATGTGAGGCTGTGTTCACTCCTGCTATATCCTAGTACTTTGGAGGCCAAGGTGGGTGGATCACTTGAGGCCAGGAGTTTGAGACTGGTCTGGCCAATATAGCAAGACCCTGTCTCTACTAAAAATGCAAAAAATTGGTGATTCACACTTGTAATCCCAGCTACTTGGGAGGCTGAGGCATGAGAATATTTAAATATACATAATTTTGTATTTCTGTATGAGAGAACCCGGGAGGCTGAGGTTGCAGCAAACCAAGATCGCACCACTGCACTCCAGCCTGGGCGACAGAGCGAGACTGTCTCAAAAATAAATAAATAAATAATGTTCAATGGAATTTTAATAATAATATGATATTAGATTTATACACTTTGAAGTTTAATATTAGGATCTTTCATTGAATTTAGTCTTATCTGTGCTCAGCACCCATTTTCTGACTTATTTTTAGGTTGGTTACCCCCAATTAAGGCCACTTTCATAGTCTGTGTGTTGATTTCTTTGAATATCGTTCCTGGGGCTTCCATAACACAAAGTACCACAAGCTTAAAACAACAGAACTTTTTATTATCTCTCGGTTCTGGAGGGCAGAAGTGTGAAATCAGGGGTTAGCAGGGCCATGCCCTCCTTGGAGGCTCTAGAGGAGAACCCTTTCTTGCCTCTTCCTAGCTTCTGGAACTCCAGGGATTCCCTGGCTTATGACAGCATCACTCCAGTTTCTTCCGTCTTCATATGACCTTCTCTGTGTGTCTCTCTGTGGCCCCTTCTCTTAAGGACACCAATCATAGATTTAGGGCCTACCCTAAATGTAGAATGATTTCATCTCAAGAGCTTAACTAATTACATCTGCAGAGATACTATTTCTAAACAATGTCACAGTCTGAGTTTCTGGGTGGATGTGATGTGGTGGGGAGAGGGGTAGTGATACTATGCTACTCATTATACTTCCCTCTTGCAGAATTGCTTTACCAGCAAGTTCTAGGAGTCTCCTGCCTTTGTCTCAATGTACGTGTGTCAGAGCTCAGGGACTTGAGAGTCTGAGGGCTGGAGGAACACAGACCACCTGGAAGTCAGTGGCTTTGCCTGTGTAACCCCCACCCCCTCGCCACTGGCACGGCTACTTTCTGCAAGGTAGAAAAATGACCATCAACTTATGCTCAGTGTTGCCATTCTGTGTACAGCCCTGTAGCCTGTGGGGTGCTTCCCATTTGGGCTTTTAGCATCTTCATAAGAAGAAGAAGAAGAAGGAAAAAAGTGCCACTTGGTATCACGCAGCAGTGTTTGTGTTGGCAAAATGTCTCTCCCATTAGACGATTCCAATTTAAAATACAGATGAGCTCTGACAAAACTGACCCAGGCCAGCTTTTCCCTTTGATGGTTTCAATTTCAGGCTTATTCATCACAAATGATTGTAATACAACAGGATTTTGACAGAACAGAGGTAGGAGTTTTAAATTCTTACCTGCAATTTTCGGCTTTAGGGGATAACTTCTGAGAGAAAAACAACAGTAACTTAGTTCTAGAATATGAAAATATGCTGAATTTCCTCTTGGAATTTTATGTTCCTAGGCATTTAACAAGTCTCTTTCCTGATGAACAAATTAAGCTCTCTGATACCAAATTATGAGCCTTACAAAGTCTGCCACATTTATCCTTTTGCCTTAAGTACAAAGGAAGCTTGGGGGAAAACACTGATCAATTTCATTAATTATTAGCTTAGGTATTTATTATATCCAGACCTTCTCCCCGTGTGTTTTATTTAAGTTCTGTTTCTATTTTAAGATTTTATTGTACATATGACTTTACATCCCTCCTGGGTGTTTACTTCCTTGCCCCGGCTTCTGACACTGCTCTTACTTTCTGCTCTTTTCTGACCATTTCTTCTTTTTGTTTTTTCTCCTCCATCTCGTCTGCCTACTTTTGAATGCCATTGTTTTCCAGGATCTCTGCTCCTCTCTCTGAACATGCAGCCCTTGGAATTCTTATATACTCTGAGGAGGTCAGCTGCTTCCTGGATACTGATGACTCTCAAAGCAGTACTTCCAACTGCACCGTTTTCCTGCATTTGATTGAGATTCAAATGCATCAACCTGCTTGTTAGGCAAATTGTGCTTGTGTGTACCCCGCAGTCACTCAGTGACTGTAAATGTGAACTCAACACTTTTCTCCCAGACTTGCCCTTTTCCACTCCTTCCCCTGTCGCCAGTCTTAGTGGGCAGCTCAGGCAATGGCCAGGTGTCTCAAGCAGGAACTGGTAAGGTATCGAAGACTTTTTCCTCTTTCTCATTCCCACATTCAACATCCATATCCTGTTGTTCTCCCTTCTAAGCATTTCTGAAATCTCTCTCTCTGCTCTTCAGTTTTGCTAGCTCTGAATTTCAGACGTGGAATTAGATGATAATTCTCATCTTGGCTGTTCCATTATCCTCCTAACTGGACTATATCATGCTTAAACAGTTCTGTGGTTTTCCATTGCCTACAGAATCCAATGGAGACTTGCCATCAGGAAACAAAGGCCCTCCCTGATTGGTTCTTGCCCACCTCAGTCTCATCTCCTGCAGCTCCCATCCCTCATTTCACATCTTCACGGCTGCTTGCCATCTTACATGGAGACCATGCTCTTTCGTGCTTCCACAGCCTTGCTGATGCTATTCTCTCCACCTGAAACGCTGTTGCCACCATTCTTTGCCTGGTTAATTCTTACACGACCTTAACTCAGCTAAAGTGTTATTCAACAGATGTTGATTGAGTACCAAGTATATGCAGGCAATATTGGAGTCCCAATGGTGAACAGGCAGACAGGGACTCTGTCCTCATTAAACTTTATTCTAATAAAACTTTAAACAAACTATGATGTTGAGCTGAATGCTTCTCCCTCGACCGGTTCTTCCAGCAGTCTGTGTGTGCTCCATCACTATCTTTGGCCTATTAGGCTGAAATCATCTTTCTGTCTCTCTTCTCTAATGGACTGTAACTTTCTTGAGGGTAGAGGCCATGCCACAGTCTCACGGTATTCTTAGTGTCCAGAACAGTGCTTAGCACTTGGTAGATTCTTAGTATGGTTCCCTTGTAACTCAACTATAGATTATGAATACTTGATTCCACTGCTCAGCATAAGCTCCCGTTCTCAAAGAAAGTTTTCCTTGACCCTCCAGAACAAGTCTTCCATCCTCCTGATATGTCCCTATCTATCATATACTGTTTTTTCCCAGAATTTTGTACTCATAACTAATTATGTTCTCAGCTATTTACATTCTGTTTTCTGCACTAAATTGTAAATTCTGTGAGGTCCAAGGTAGGGCTTTCACACTGCATAGCCTATAATAGGTGCTCAATAAATATTTGCTAACTAGAAAAGTAATGAATTTTCATGCTGGATAAAAATCCTGAATGAATTGCTGAGGCCTACAGAAAAATTCGAGCCAACTGCCTGCTGGCCCAACGCCTGACTCTACCCATCTGTAAAATGGAGATGTTTCTGGGGGATAATATTGAATAGCAGATAAACTTTACATTAAAACCATATCAAACCAAATATGCGTAAACAGATTATACAAAAAAGACAGGATTAAATAATTAAACACATCAGCTGCAGTTCCAGATGGGCTCTTAATTACCTATTTCAGGATGTGATGTTTTATTCCCCCACCAGACATATAACCATTTTCTTCTCTTTTCTTTCCCAGCATCTGAGAGAGCAGTTCCTGAGCAAAACAAAACAACAAAAACAGGACAGGTAAAACATCTGTGAAGTATTTGACATATATCACTTAAATTATACGAATCCACAGTAGTGGCTGGGCATGGTGGCTCATGCCTGTGATTCCAGTGCTTTGGGAAGCCTGGGCGGGCGGATCACTTGAGGCCAGAAGTTTGAGATCACCCTGGCCAATACGGTAAAACCCCATCTCTATTAAAAATGCAAAAATTAGCTGGGTGTGGTGGCACATGCCTGTAGTCCCAGCTACTCAGAAGGATGAGGCATGAGAAGCGCTTAGACCCAGGAGGCAGAGGTTGCAGTGAGCCAAGATTGTGCCATTGCACTCCAGCCTGGGCGACAGAGCGAGACTGTTTCAAGAAAAAAAGCCAATCAACAGTAGAAGTTTGTAGAGATGAACTAGGAAAGGCAGGATATTGCTAAGTGGCAAAATTAATTGCAACGATTATGAAATAGCCCAAGAATTTGTAGACTTATACTCTTGGCAGAAATAAACTTGATTGTTGCTTCTGTGTGTGCTGATGCTTTGAAAAGCAAAAAGAAGAAAACATAAAAAAACATGCAAGATCATTGTGTGTTCCTTCTGCATGGCCCAGGATTCACGGTGTACTGCAGAATCAACCCGTGATATTAATATCCCTCTTACTTTCTGAGGGTACCGTTCGTTTATTTTTATTATTACAAAAGTGATTCAAGCCACTTTAAGTGAAAGCTTCAGGCAGTACAGATGTCTATTTATAGGTGCCCCATCCCCTCTTTCTTCTTCCCCATCTCTCTCTCAGACACTGTCTGTTGTCCTGCCCTGGTTGCTGTGCCCACTGTGTGTTAGAGAATGGAACAAAGACAGAGGGAGAAAGCATAGCCTGGTCAATGGAGATGGCATAGTCCTGGCAAGATGCCTCAATGCCTGCCTGCAGAGCAGCACCTCTCAATTTTTTTGGTGTCAGGGTCCCTTTATACTCCGTTATTTTTTTTAAGACATAGTCTCACTCTTTTGCCCAGGCTGGAGTGCAGTGGCACAACCTTGACTCACTGCAACCTTCACCTCCCGGATTCAAGAGATTCTCTTGCCTTGGTTGCAGTGAGCTGATACTGCGTCACTGCACTCCAGCCTGGCAACAGGGCTAGACTCTGTCTCAAAAAAAAAAAAAGAGATTCTCCTGCCTCAGCCTCCCAAGTAGCTGGGATTATTGGCATGCATCACTATGCCCAGCTAATTTTTTGTATTTTTAATACAGACAGGGTTTCATCATGTTGGCCAAGCTGGTCTTGAGCTCCTAACCTCAAATGATCCACCCATCTTGGCCTCCCAAAGAGCTGGAATTATAGACATGAGCAACCGTGCCTGCCCTATATTCTTTTTGTTTTTAACTTGGATTTTACTTGTGTATGTAAATAGCAACATGAGTACAGGGAGTTCTAAGGCTTGTGGCTTATATCTAAGTGAAAGGATTTCAGATTCATTTGCTTGTAGGATGGCATTACCCAAGATAACAGAGGCCTGGTATAGTCTTTCCTGGAGAAGAAAGTCAGTCTGATGCATTCAATACTGACTTCTCTGCCATTTTTTTGGTAAAAATATTGATTGACCATATGAAGTTTCTATTGCTTACCTATAACTGATTAAAGTGTGCAGAGAATGGAATTCTCTACTTGTTTTCAGATGGATCCTTACATTTCCTGGCTTTAAAAAGTTCTTCTTCCAAAAATCTTCCATGACTATGTATCCTTGTAAACCCGGGTCATATAATCTCTCCTTTCTGACCTGCACAAATTTGACGGGTTGTTGTAGAGAATGGATAGAAGCTACTAATCTCATGAAACCAGGTAGAAATACCTGCTTCTTTACTTTTGAAGCTCTAGCCAAAAGAAGTCCAACAAGGCCAACCAAACCGATAACACCCAGTCCTGGAAAAAAATCTAGCAGGTGCATTTTGGAGATATTCATAGATGTGTCACCCCCAATGAACCAAACGTTACATCTTGGGCTTCATTTGGGAGTACGTTTCCCGACACCAACATGTATATCGCTCATGACAATGTCAAAGCTGAGAGATGCTTTTCTCAAGCTGGGTCCTTGACTCCTCCACATGTTTAGATTGGCCCTTGAGAACAGAGTAGAGTAAAAGCTCATAAATCTTCATGGGATTTGTGGGAGGGGAGTCATTTTTCGGTGCTGCAGAGACTTTGAAGGTGAGTAGGCTCAGGCTGGCCAGCCCCATGGTCCTCTGAACCACCTTGAACATGTTACCGGCAGTGGGGGCTCTCACAGGGTCATTTTATACTCTTGAAACTCAGTTTCTAGCCTGGGCAACATGGCAAGACCCCATTTCTACAAAAATAAAAATAAAAAAATAGCCAAGTGTGGTATCACGTACCTGAAGTCCCAGTTACTTCGGGAGGCTGGGGTGGGAGGATCACTTGAGTCCAGGAGGTTGAGACTGCAGTGAGCCTTCTTTGTGCCACTGCACTGCAACCTAGGCAAAAGACAGAGACCCTGTCTCAAAAAAAATAATAGTCCAGGTCTCATAGCACACTTCCGTAACCCTACTTTGGGAGGCTGAGGCAGGAGGGTTGCTTGAGCCCAGGAGTTTGAGACCAGCCTGGGCAAAACAGTGAGACCCTGTCTCTACAAAAAGTTAAAAAAAAAAAAGGCCAGGCATGGTGGTGCATGCCTGTAGTCCCGATACCCAGGAGGCTGAGGTGGGAGAATTGCTTGAACCTGAGAGTTCAAAGTTGCAGTGAGCTGTAATCATTGCCACTGCACTCTAGCCTGGGCAAGAGCGAGACCACGTCTCTACAAAAGAAAAAAAAATCAGCTTCTTAAAACTGAGACTTCGCTTTGTTTTGTTGTGTTTTTGATTGTCTAGACTGTTCAGCAGAAAGCATGGAGACATTTTTGCAATTAAAAAATTTTTTTAGGCCAGGTGTGGTGGCTCATGCCTATAATCCCAGCACTTTGGGAGGCTGAGGTGGACGGATCACTTGAGGTCAGGAGTTCGAGACGAGCCTGGCCAACATAGTGAAACCCCATCTGTATAAAAACCCAAAAATTAGCTGGACGAGGAGGTGCATGCCTATGACCCCAGCTATTTGGGAGGCTGAGGCAGGAGAATCGCTTGAACTTGGGAGGCAGAGGTTGCAGTGAACTGAGATCACATCACTGCACTCCAGCATGGGTGACAGAGCGAGACTGGGGCTCAAAAAAAAATTTTTTTTTTTTTTTTTTTAAATTCCAGCAGTTTGGAAAGTGATGATGGCAGGAGGATCACTTGAGCCCAGGCCTGGGAACATAGTGAGAAACCATCTCATTTTTAAAATTAAAAAAAATTTAAACTTTTCCTTTAGGTTCAGGTACATGTGCAAGTTTGTTATACACATGTCTGTATTTTTAAAAAATTTAAAAATCAATTCATTTAAAAATAACAAGCCCACTTTGTGCTAACATAACCTGTTTAACAGCAACTAATTCTATTTTGAAAAGAATATTACTGAGAAAAATGAGTGAAAAAATTAGTGAGAAAAATGGCATTGTTTTACATTTCTTGCAAATCTCATTAATGTCTGGCTTCATAGGAGACAGAGGGATTCTCATCTCTGCTCTCCACGTTCTGTATCAGCGACAGCAATGACGTCACACATCACATAGCCTCTGGAAAAGTCTTATGAGAGAATGACAGTGAAAATGGCAAAAATGTCCCATGAAAATCATTTTGCTCTCATGAGCTCCACATCTAGACTCTGAGAACCACTGCTGTAAAAAACGTAAAATTAAGGTTCATTTTCTCTTTAATCCTGTTTTTTCTAGAAGCCTAAGTCAGCCATGAAAAGAGCAGCACAGGGCTAGGGAGAGCTCGAAGGATTTGAGCAGTGGCCATGAAAGGGATTTGACCATGGAAAACACAGCTCACAGCAGTTACTTTTGATCCTCAGACTCCTGATATGCCCGATGTCTAACACTAAGGAAAATTTTGGGATATGGTAACATGTTTTAGATTTTCAGAGATTTTTGGCAAAAGATGGTGAAATGTGGTGAAACTACTGGTAGTTGTAAGGTACCCTTGGCTGGGGATGTCATCCTGTGAGGGTGGTGTCTAGCAGTGACTGGGCTCCTCTCCTTGCCTGTGTCCCATCAGATGGATGGAATGCCCACACTCACGAAGAATGAAATACTCACCTCCCAACTACTGATGATCATCGTCCCCTCCTTGGGATTTGTGCTGTTGGCATTGCTCGTGGCATTTATTTTGAGAGGTAAGGAGGGAGGGCCAGGTGATGGAGCACTTCAGAACCCTGATGACTGCAGGAGGATCTGGAGTTGTATTCACTTCCTTCCCCTTTCTCTCTCCGCAAAGAGGCTCAGTTTTGTCACTGTCTCCATCCCAGCCAGGGAAGTAACAGGTAAGCTCATTCTCCAAAAGTGGCTAATGCCTCTGTGTATTAACCTCCTGGTAGAGTTGACATTTTGGAAAAGAAAAAAAAAAAAGCAGAATAAGAGCATCTTCATTTATTGGACATTTCTGTGCCAGTCCTGATGGTATACTCTTGACATGCCTAATTCATTTTATCCCTATTACTGCCTTAAGAGGAAAGTATCATTATTATCACTATCTTTGTTCTATGGTTGAGAAAACCCTAGCTTGTCTCTTTTTTTGGCTAGGATTATTGCAGGAGGAAGACCATGAACGATTCCTGGTTTTCTTTCTTTTTTTTTGAGATTAAGTCTCCCTCTGTTGCTCAGGCTGGAGTGCAGTGGCACGATCTGAGCTTACTACAACCTCTGCCTCCTGGGTTCAAGTGATTCTTCTGCTTAAGCCTCCCGAGTAGCTGAGACTACAGGTGCTCACCACCACACCCAGATAATTTTTGTATTTTTAGTAGAGACAAGGTTTCCTCATGTGGGCGAGGCTGGTCTGGAACTCCTGACCTCAGGGGATCCACCCACTTTGGCCTCCCAAAATGCTGGAATTACAGGCATGAGCCACCATGCCTGGCCTGATCCTGGTTTTCTTATGTGTTCCCTGAAAGCAAGTCACAGGTGGCTTCAAGGGTAATGTGATTCCTTTCAAATCGTGTGCAAAAGTGCTTATATGTTAATGCCTACATTTTTCAGGGGACAAGGTTTACAGTTTTCATTAAATTCTCAAGCTGCTCCATGACCTTGCACCTCCATCCCACCCCACCCCACCCCCAAAAGTTTTAAAACACTACAAAAACGAGCCATGAAACAGAGCTTATGGTTTTCATGCAAATTATAGGCACATGGCACCTGGTACTGTTGTGAAATGGAGATAAATTGGTCTGTACTCATTAACAAAAGCTGTTTCAGGGAAGTACGTCAGAAGATGAGACTAGTAACCATCTCAGCGGATTCGAACAATAGTGAAACCCGTAAATTTCAACACCTGCCCCAGGTGCAAAAGGAAATTTAAACTTTACTGGAATCCTGCTGTTAGCCTTCATACAAAGGCATGGTTACAATTTTGGAAAATTCCGAGTGTGTCTCATAAAGAAATGTTTACAAACCCAAGTGAGTATTTGGATTCTGGATAGGCAGATGACTGAAAATGAAATAGCTTAACTCCATTGCCCACATGTTGGAACAAGTTTGTAATTGATGAGCACTGACTGTGGCCTAAAATAGCAAGCATTTGACCTGGGAAAGGGAATGGCTTTTTCTGCTAAAGCCAGCCGCTGGTTCTCATTTTTGGCCCATGTCTGCTTTTTGGGAGGCAGCATTGGAAATCCCCCAGTATTTTGCATGTTCTATCCACCACAGCCACTCTGCTCACGCTGCGGCCTTGTCTTTTCAGAGAAATTCATGGAAATCAATTGTTTGCAGAGGCACACAAGGTAATTTATCTTGCATGGATGGTTGTTACAATGATTGTACAAGCTGTTACAAATGATTAGCTACTACTCAGTGGTTTAATGACTTGAACTTGTGCTCTGATTAAACTTGAACTTGTGCTCTGATAGCGTTGGAAAGATGTGACATTAGAAGTGAAAAAGTTGTGCAGATTTAGCTCACATTAACCTGTGTCTTGGTTAACACTGTGTCTGAGCAAAATGCCAATACAAAGGCAGGTGGCATTAATAGAAGCATAGCATGCAAAGGAAAGAAGGTGATACAGCACTCTATTCTGTTTGAAATTTTTTGTTTACCTATGGGTAAATTAGTTTAAGAGGACATTGTTAAACTGGAGTTTATTGAGGAGAGTTGGCAATATGGAAAATGAAAAAAGCATGTATAATATTATTCCTGGGAGTTGGTTCCTTTGCCAAATTAGATCATGGGAACAGCTTTTTATTTTGGGGCCTTTTAAAAAAGAGTGTTTGAAGATTCTCTAGTAGGGGATTTTAGCCATCTGCCCTATTCTATAGCTTTTGGAAAAGAAATGAAAAGACTTGGTGTAAATTATCAATGAAGGCCTTGCCTTCACTAATTAATTGCATTAATAGTGTGATATGTATTAACAAGCAGGAAAATTCATACCCAGCAAAGTGACCTTTCAAGGTCAAACTTAGAGACCTTTTGGTAAATAAATGTAAATCATGATTTTAGATTTTGCTAAGAATTTTTTTTTATCTCCTTATTATAATGGATTGGCAGAAACTCTTTCCCCTGCAGCCCCAGTTTTCTAATCTGTAAAATGTAGAGCTTAAACTGAAGGAACTGTGAGCCCTTTGAACTTGAAGGGCAATTGGATTGTAACTTAGCAGCATTTTTTGTTTGTTTGTTTTCTAGTCTTGTGTTTCCCATTACCAGCCTCTCTCTTCTGTTTACAGGCTAGGCAGCACTGGAGATACTAAAAATGTCCTCAATGACACGCGGCATGGAAGTGAAGACGAAGATGGCCTTTTTACCCTCTAACATGCTACTTTCCATTAGGCTTGAGAATGGGGGCATGACAATTGAAGTGTCAAAATAAATCTTAGTAGGTTTATTTTTTTGTTGTTTCATAAAAAAGACTTACTTATCCCATGGAAGTCATTGATAACAGTCTTGCTTTAGTTTCACAAATGAAAGGTACTTTAGAGACAGCACCTTCTCTGTCCATGCTTTAATCATCTCTGTAGAAGTGATCTTTTATACTATACTAGAACACTTTCAGTGATGGTGAACTCCTTACCTCACCCAAGGGAGTCCATTCAATCTCAGAGCAGTTCTGAGATTCAGAATATTTAAAGCAAAATCTATCTCCTGATGACCTCTGCCTATGGATTCTAGTTAAATTCATTGTGCCTATACAGAACATGTCTTTATTAAGGGCTAGTGTTGTGTGAACTAACAGGACAAAAATTCTACAGCCTCCATCAGTCAAGTAATAGACTGATTTCTTTTCTCTCTTAAAGGTAATGTCAAGAGAGTAGAAATCCAAAAGATGGTTACCTTTGGAGAACCATGTACTTATTCCATTAATGTTGCTATTGCCCTAAGCATGCTGGGAAGTACTGGAGAGCGGTTAACTCTTCAGATATTGGAAGGAGATCCTCATCTCTCTCCAAGTTTCCTTGCTTCTGGGATGCAATTGCTGGTCCTATTGTTACCCTAATTACCTTCATCTTGTATGTGTTTGTATCTCTCCTTTTATGCCCAGCTTTCAGAGTTCAGTGTCTCACTGAACTGTTGCTATAACATTAGGAGCAGCACAGAGCCTATGCTTCATCAACAAGGCAGAAAATGACAAGGAATCACACCATAACTTCGACTCACTTCTTTTTTTTCTTGAGATGGAGTCTCGCTCTGTTGCCCAGGCTAGAGTGCAATGGTGGAATCTCGGCTCACTGCAACCTCCGCCTCCTGGGTTCAAGCGATTCTTCTGCCTCAGCCTACCAAGCGAATAGCTAGGGTTATAGGTGCCCACCACCATGCCAAACTAATTTTTGTATTTTTAGTAGAGATGGGGTTTCACTGTATTGGCCAGGCGGACCTCAAAGTCCTGACCTCAGGTAATCAGCCCGCCTCAACCTTCTAAAAAGCTGGGATTACAGGCTTTGAGCCACTGTGCCCAGCCAATGTTGACTCACTTGTAAAACTCCTAAATTTTCTATTATTTTCTTTTCACATTTGAGTGTCTTTAGAGTTGACCATAGTGTCACATTTTAATTCTTGCTTGGGGGATTTAATTTTGAAACAGAAAAGAGTCAATGGGAGTAAAATGTGATGAATGACAGCAGTATTCAACCAGGGGCAGTGCTTAGATGCGAAAGCAAGGCAATACAAATAAGTTTCTCTAAATATAATTCATGGAAATGTGCTCCTCAATAACAACAGGTTTATTTTAAAACTTTAATAACTGCTAACATGAGGAACCCTGGGAGAGAGATTAAAACAAACAGTTGTTGAATGAATGAATAAAAAACATGTGTGCCTGAGTGAGAGGGGCTTCTGGCTGGGCAGAAATGTGGAAAGCAAGCCAGATCTGAAAGACATGTCTGTGAAGAACTTCCCAGCATGTTTATAGCAACATTAATGGAATAAGTACATGGTTCTCCAAAGGCATCTATCTTTTGGATTTCAGCTTTCTTGACATTAGATTTAGAGAGAAAAAAATCAGTCTAATGACTTGACTTGTGAAGCCTATAGACTTTTTGTCCTGCTGATGCATACAACATTGATCCAGCAGTTAGTAAAAGTCCCCCTCACCTGGGCACTTGGAATAAACTGGCCCAGGGCAGCCTGACTTCTGACTCGTTCAGTTGCTGTTGGGCAGAATGATTGGCCCCAACGATAAAAACAATAAGCAGAAGATTGGCAGTTGTTTCTTTCCTTTCTTTTTTTTTTTTTGAGATGGAGTTTCACTCTTGCTGCCCAGACTGGAGTGCAGTGGTGCAATCTCAGCTCACTGCAACCTCTGCTCCCAGGGTTCAAGCAATTCTCCTGCTTCAGACTCTGAAGTAGTTGGAATTACAGGTGCCTGCCACTATGCACATCCAATTTTTTGTATTTTTAGTAAAAATGGGATTTCATCATGTTGGCCAGGCTGGTCTCGAACTCCTGACCTTAGGTGATCCACCCACCTCAGCCTCCCAAAGTGGTGGGATTACAGGCAGGAGCCACTGCACTTGACCTTTTTTTTTTTCCTTAGGTTAACTTGGCTTTTGTTAGATTAAGATACTTGAAATGACTTGGTCTAGTGTGTTAAACTCAAACATTTATTTAGAAATGTGGGGGAAAGTGGGTCTAGAGTCAGGTTCAGGGCCTGAATTTTCCCATCTGGAAAACAGAGTGGGGCCAGATGGCTTTGTGTATGTAGTCAAGTTAATGATAGACCCCACCCTAACTTCTCATGCTCCCTATCCATCTTCCAAAACCACTGCCATTATCAATATCATGATCAACTTGGGTCTGACTGGAAAAAGAAGACTGCAGATACCTCCTAAACACAACATTTAAACTCAATGAATATTTTCTGTTTTGCAAAGGGCTATCTTCAATCAATTCCCAAATATATTTCTGAAACTCCTTGTTCAGACTAAGAAACACTGACATGAGCAATCATACTATTTTAGAACTGGTAATGGCCTCCAGGAGTCTCTGTCCTAGTAGTTCTCAATGCTAGCTGAACAATCAACTGGAGAGCTTTTAAATGCCAATTCCTGAGTCCTACCCTTTAAGAGATTCTTTTTGTAATTAGTCTGGGATATGACTTGGGCACCTGAATTTTTGAAAAATGTCTCAAACTGGTTCCAATGTAGAACCAAGGTCTACAAAAAAATTCTGGTCTAGTCTGGTGGCTCTCAAACTATGCACTTCAGACCAGCAGCCTTAGCATCACTGGCACTTTATAGAAATGCAGATTCAGGTCCTTCACCCCATATCTCCAGAATCAGAAACTCTGGGGTAGAGCCCAGCAGACTGTGTTTTAACAAACCTCCAGATGATTCTGATACGTGTTAGAGTTTGAGAAACGTTGCAGCGTAGTAATTCCTAACAGATGGATTGAGAATTCAAGAAAAGAATCTCTCTTTTACCAGGGCTGTGTGGTGATGGGCTTGGCCAGAGGGTCAGGAGCTTCCAGTACCAGCGGCAGAGGTCCTGCTGCTTCACCTCCTTTAAGCTGGTATCTCTTTTTGCTTGGATTCTTGCAGCACTTTCCTAACTATAATCTCTGACTTTACTCCTTTTCCTCTCTAATCTGTTCTCCATGCTGTGGCAGAGATACCCTCTTTCAATACAGATCTGGGATTTCTATCTCCTGACTTCTAGCCCTTTTCATCCTTGGCCCCTAGACCTACCTAGAAGCAGCACATGTAGCTCTGCCTGGGGCAGAGGTGGCAAACTCCAATGACTTCAGAGGCCAGGTAGCTGATACAGTTGAGGGAGTCAACAGGAGATGACGTGGCCCGTGATAAATTGAAGTGTGTGTATGTACACTTAAGGGCGTTACAATTTAAAATTAGTTAAAATAATTTCCTGAGCAAGAAAAGCATGGCTGTGGGCTAAAACAAGGTAGCCAGTTTGAGACTGGGAGTAGGGGGTGGGTTTTAGTAAAAGACGAGTTAAAATATATAATTCTTTTACTGAGACTCCTTGATCAGAGAAGGCTGTGGATATAGTTGTTCCTCTCATTCCCTCTTTGTGTAATCAGGATGAATTGTTAGCATCTATAAATAACTCTTTGGCATCTATTGTATGTGGGGCCCAGGAGAGACAATTGCTCCTTTTAAGGAGCTTCGAATTGGAATGAGGCAAACACACATGGGAAATGCAATAGACTAGGCTAGGTGAGGTGACTCACAACTGTAATCCCAGCACTTCTGGAGGCTGAGGCGACACATCACTTGAGGCCAGGAGTTCAAGACCATCCTGGCCAACATGGCGAAACACTGTTTCTACTAAAAATACAAAAATTAGCTGAGCCTGGCGGCGGGCGCCTGTAATTCCAGCTACTCAAGAGGCTGAGGCAGGAGAATTGCTTGATCCTGGGAGGAGGAGGTTGCAGGGAGCCGAGATCGCACCACTGCACTCCAGCCTGGGAAATGGATTAAGACTTTGTCTCAAAAAAAGAGTAATGCAATAGAATGGAATCAGTGTTGTTTTTCCATTTCCATAAGGAAGGAACTTGATTCAGTATGTGGCTGTTACAGCTAATGATTATATGGTGGATCCACAATCAAACTTCACAATTTAAATCAGGGGCTTCCAATATTTTGACTTCCCTGAACCACATTGGAAGAATTGTCTTGGGCCACACATAAAATACACGAACACTAATCATAGCTAATGAGCTAAAAATAAAAAATTGCAAAAAAAAAAATCTCATAATTTTTTTTTTTTTTTTGAGACAGAGTTTCGCTCTTGTTACCCAGACTGGAGTGCAATGGCGCGATCTCGGCTCACCGCGCCCTCCGCCTCCTGGGTTCAGACAATTCTCCTGCCTCAGCCTCCTAAAATCTCATAATGTTTTAAGAAAGTTTACCAATTTGTGTTAGGCTGCATTCAAAGCCATCCTGGGCCCATGCAAGCTCGATTTAAAGCAACCTAATTCTTCAGCTTTCACCAGGGCCTTTCTAGGCCAAATACAATAGATACTATCAACTTGTACTGAGCACCTACTGTATTCTGGGCACTGAATTAACTGTTTCAAGGCATTTATCTCATTGACTCCTGACAGCAGCTCAACAAAGCAGGTCTATTATTTTGGCTTTGGAGCCAAGAAAACAGAAGCAGAGGCAGGTGAAGGAACTTGCTCAAGGTCACATTGTCCAACCTCCTGTAACAGAGCCAGGTTCTCAGCCAGGATTGAAGACTCCACACTCTACTACCTGTAATTCACAGTAAGGGCTGCAATTCCAGATGTCATGCATATGGCTCTGTATCTCTGAACTGCATTGGACTCAAATGGATTTCAGTGTCCTCAGATCCACAGCAACCTAAGTATATCAATAGCTTTCCAATCCCAACCCCATTATAGCTCAATCTTCCCTAGTCCTGGCATTATTTACTCAGAATCTGATTTGCATTTGCAGAGGA